CACATCCCATGAATGTTAAAGAGGATAACTCACCCGTATTATTATCGTGGTCTCTAGGATGTAATGTGTGATCCTGTCTCCTTCAGCATTAGAGTAGTCGGGCGTTAAAGTATGGTTCCAACTACCTTATCTGAAGAACGGCGTAAATAGAGTCAACATACCCCTCTCTATCTTATCAACGTTGTCTCTATCATGGGATGATTTCATTAGGTTGATATAACTAATGCGCCACTTCCCGAGACCGGACCGAGTTCTATATTGAATGATACTAGAGACCGAGCCCAACTATTTGTTTTATATGTTTATAGTTATATCTCTAAAGAGGATACGTCATATCGAAGGTGCCCCACTCTAAAAGCATGATCCTGTCTCTGATGACCATCTCAACTTCCATCGGAGTCGGCGAACAGTGGAAGGTGTAAGGAGTAAGACATTCAAGGGTATATATATATATATCATAGAAGGTAAAAACTTAGAGCAATAAGTACATCCAAATAATTTCAAGAAGTTAGGCTAAACTTTAACCCATCATTTGTTGACATTTTGTCTAATGCCTAAGAAGGACTACTTAAGCAAATATAAAATTAAAAAAAAATAATAATAATAATAAAAAAAAAATCTATAACCAAGACAAAAATTAAAAGAATGAAAACAAATTAAGACGCTCAAATTGAATTATTTTTTTAATTTCCAATTTCCATAACTATATGGCAAGATTATGTATATTCTCATAATTATTTATTCAAATTTTAATATAAGTTTTATAATATATAATTTTTCTAAAGAGAAATAATCACTCATACTCTTAAAATGTTGTTTACTCTAGTAGAAATTTCACTCCTATATCATTAGAAAGCTTTTTGCAGCAGAATAATATATATATTGGTCATCGATAGAGTATGTGCTTATTAAGTATGATTATTGAAATGTTGATCATTGATGGAGTGTGTGTTTATCTGCTGCAAATATATATTAGTATCATTATGTGTTTTTTTCCTTAAAATATTGCTTATTACAGTGATTTGAAGTGAAAAGTCATTGCAGTAGCAAAAAGTTGTATATGTTTATATATACATGCAGTAGGGTCATTGCAGCAGCAAAAAAAATTCACTCAAATTCACTCATATATCACTAGATTGAGAGAAAAAATTAATGTAACACTCAATTCCCAATCCAAACCTCATAATATTAAACAAAATCTCATAAAGAAAGCAAGGTAAAGAGAGAGGGAATGATAATGAAGATAGACATAAGATTTTGAACTAAGTCATACTCGAGAGAGGGGGAGAGAGTTGCTATTCTCAGATTTACGTCAATTAGATTTTAGGGTTTCACACAAATGCTCTGGCCTTTTCCATTTTTCTGTTCTTTCCCTCCTTGTATTTTATTAAGTTTTCTTAGCTTTCCGTTTTCTCAGCTTTTCGTGTTTTTTTTTTTTCTTTCATTTTTTTAATTTCATCAAATAGAATATGCTATCCATAAAAGGTATAAATATTCATCCGGTATACTTTTTTTCACGACAAAGAATTGAAAAGTTAGATGCTTAAAGTTTCTTTGTTCCAAAAGATCTCTCCTCTCGAATTTTTCGTTTGCTTCTTTTACTTGTTTCGACATATTTGGATCGTGAGTCAAATCCTACACCCACGATTATGGCTCTCAAAGTTTTCGTTTTAAAGTTTCTTTGTTTCAAAAGATCTCTCCTCTCACCGACTTGACTTTATGACTCTCAATGACTTCTCTAAGCTTCTGGCTGCTAAAATGGCTCGATTTTGCTATTTTTATCCCATTTTATCATTTCGAACCATTTCAAAATTGTTTCGGGTCGGTATACCCATTGTTTTGGAGAATTAATTTTTTTATGGCATTGTTTAGGACGATTTCGGTAAGTATAGGTTGACTCTAAGAATACTCTCAGCTTCATTTTCTGAAGGGATGATATGGCAGGTAAAATTGAACTAAGTGAAGTTAAACCTAAGAACATTCGACCAAAGCAATCTTATGAATACCGAGAAGAGTTTAAACAATAATCACAACATATACTATGCTGGAGGAAATTGTTTAAAACAATAATCACAACATATGACCTTTTTGACATGTTATTATTTGTTTTATCATATTCGAATGAATTTTGTGATGCATGTATTTATTTATTTATTTATTTTTTTGTGATGAATTCTAAATGCTATAGTAATATGATCATACCTTGTGAGACCTCATGATGATATATGAAAGGCATGAGTGAACTATTTTGAACATGCAATTACATTTTAAGGAATTTACATCACCATAATATGGAAGTATGCACATCATCTCATTGAATCATGATATTTAATGTGGAATCTCATACATGTTGTATGTCATATGATCATAAATTACTTTAACATGTTTGGTATGGACACGTAAATCATAATACTATTGTGTTCCTTTCCTTTCCATTGATTTTGGACCGTATAAGTGTGCACTAGCCCATAGTTTGCTTTAGGGAGTATGTTAACAAAGCCCGCCTAATGGGTTCATGTGCACATGCATAAACTAATTGTAGAGAAGTACCATACATCTAGACACTACTTGTTAAAGAAAATAGAGGCTAAGAAACAACCATAAAAATTAAGTCCTACTAGTCATAATACATATTGTTTGTGAATACATTTTCTGACTTTAATAATACGATCACTTACTAAGTATTTTTAAATATACATACTATCCGTTAAAATGTTTCAAGTAAATGCAAAGAGCCCATGCTCGATTGATGATAGTTGCTAAGAAGACTATATAAATGAAGTCATTGATAGATAGTTTTTCTCATTTCTGCTATAATTTCAACGTTAAAGATGGTTTAATATTGTTTTTATCCTTGAATTTTGGTAAATATATGTTTAAACCTTATTTTTAATTAGATTTTTCCAATGTTTACATTATTTATAAATATTGAAGTCCAACAATTTAAAAGTTGGACTATTTTTTTTTTTTATAGATATTTTACGTATAATAGAAAAGTAAGATCATGCCAAATAAATTAATAATGAACATTTTGTTGAGTGATGCAAGGTAACTTACGTTTTTCATGTTAGTTTCGTCTAAATAGATCGTCTTGTTAGGATTGTACAACAACGCACACACTCGATCAATTTGAACACAAAGAATAAGAGAGAAAAAATTTAAGAAGGAATATTAGCTAAAGGTTTTGTTGATACTTCAATATCTACGCCAACATAGAACACAGAGAAGGAAGAGAGTAAGGAGCACCCGTGGTGTATATAGGGTTACAATTTACTAAATATACCAACCGATTTACCTAATATATCTCTACCAAATCTTTACTAAATATCTGCCTTATATATTTTTACCCGACCTTTGACAGCATTAGGCTCCATATCCCAACAATCTCTCACATTTTGAGAATGATTGGGTCAACCAAGAATTTCATTGTCAATCTGCATCATACCACTTGAGGCTTTGCACAACCCCAATGTTCCAATATCAACACAACATGTTTGTTGGATTTTTTGTGCCCTCTATCTCCTCCAAACACATCACCATCTTCCATTAACCTCCAAGTGAAATGGTATCGCATTCTGTGTTTTGTCTTTGAATGATAGACCGGGTTCCTCGCCAACTACATGACACTCTAACTATCTACCTGAAGAATCTTCTAATGTTGTTTCTTGCCTATTTCATCTAGATAGTCTATCATTCATATCATCTCTTTTCCAGCTTCAGCTATTGCCACGTACTCAGCCTCAGTAGATGAAAGAGCAACGCTTTTCTGAAGCCCAGATATCCCATTATCCATGGCTTGCTCACACTTGGTTATATCTTCCAACTGTAGGGCATCATCAAGGGACTTTGGTTCCCCCTTCATCAGTCAGCAACAGATAACGTAATGTAGGTGCATACCTATCTGGTGCTCTAATAGTTCGGATGATCTTCTCAAAACCTGCTCAGGTGTCACTTGCTCCACCTCTGATTCCTCAACAATTGACCCAGTTGTTTGTTGAGTATCTGCTACAACATCACTAGGTGAATCTTTTCGCAACTCAACCTCAACTCCCACTTGCTTCATTGTCTTGAAACCTTTCTTCTCTTTGTCCTTGTCCAGGACATTTTCATCAAAGGTCACGTCACAATGTCTCAAGACTTTTCTGTTCTTGTCATCCCAAAACTTGTACCCGAATATGTCAGAATCATAGCCTATGACATAGCACTTCACAGGCTCACTGTCAAGCCTGTCACTCTTTTCTGGATCAACACGAACATACGTAGTACAACTAAAAGTTCTCAAGTGAGAGTATTTGAGTTCTTTTCCTATCCATACTTCTTCTGGCAACTTGAACTCCAAGGCTACTGACGACCCTCTATTGATCAAGTAGACGGTTGTATTTACAACATCGACCAAGAATTTCTTTGGCAATCCAGAATGAATCCTCATACTCTTTGCTCAATTATTCAATGTTCTGTTCATTCTTTCAGCAACACCATTTTGTCTTGCTTTACCAGAAGCTGTCCTCATTAATCGAATTCCCTCAGCTGTACAAAATGCTTTGAATTCTGACTTTTCGTACTCTCCTCCATTGTCAAACCTCAAACATTTGATCTTCAAGCCGATCTGATTTTCAACTTCATCTTTCCACTTCTTGAAGGTGACAAATGCATCTGACTTGTGATTCAGGAAATAAACCCACACCTTCCTACTAAAATCATCGATGAAGTGACGTAGAACTTTGATCACCAAGGAATGAAATTGGAGATGGTTCCCAAACGTATGTATGGACCATTTCCAGTGGTACTTTCTTCAGTTCTCTGGCAATCTTTGTGAAGCTAACTTGTTTGCTCATAACGCAATTCTCACAATGACGTAGAACTTGTTTGCTCATATCAACAAATTTCAAACCTTTTAAAACTCATTTCACAGCCAGCATCTTCATTCTTTTGACGCTCATATGTCCAAGTCTGTCACGACCCCAAATTAAGCCGTGACTAACATTGTATGACATGTAATGTATAAACGAGAAATTTAAGGAAATCATTTGTTTCAAAAGAAAAACGTATCTTTATTAAAAGGACATAAGTGCCTAGGTAAAAACAAGAAAAGAAACATTAAGGTCAAGTGAACTATTCAATATACTAGACTGACGCCCCGGGACACGCTTCCTCTGTGACAACCCACATCGATCGACGCGCCCTCTCTTGACTCGACGCCTCACGTACCTGAAGAAAAAAAAAGGGTATAACAGGAATGAGTATAAAAATTATACTCAGTAAGCCACCTACTTGTAGGCTCTTATCGCACCCTAAACTTAGCAAACGATCACGGACTTTCCTTTGGCTCTAGAACAACTTAATCTGGCCTTACCTCATTAGGGCTTACCCTCTTGGAACTTGTCCCTTCGGACTTCTTTGGTTCTTAGACCTTTTATTTAAACCCATAGAGTTCCTTTTATGCTAACCTGTGTTGGACTGGTGCCTTGCGAGTGGCTACCTCGGCATGGGTATGAGATTACCTAGGGTCTCACCTAGGAAGTGAGCTGCAACCCCCTAGACCCATGATAATCCCCCTGTATTTGGGAGAGCTACCTCCCCTATTCCATCCAGCTAAACGGTCAATTACGACGTGGGTATCCCGTTTCCCATACTAAACGGCTATCGAGCAGTCGAGTCCTGATCAGGAACCCGCTGGTCCCCCACGAAGCTATATCACCATCCACACACAAGCAGCCTAAGGGTACTCTAAGGATGTTTCATGTGCCGTGATGGTCTGTTAAACTAATAGGAAAAGGTTAAGTCTATCCCTTGGTGGCTTGTCGCTCTAACCATAGTCCTCTAGTCTTATTCATAAAGGTGACCATGAAAATAACTGAGTACGTACATAACTATTATCCAAAATCCTCAAACACATTTCATGCAAAGTAATCATACAAGCTCGACGGGGTGATAACATCCATCAACTCCCGGAGCACAGAGTTCGCAATTTCACATCCTCCCTTCAGCAAAAAGATGTACATATGCATAAAAAAAAATGGGAATTAAAAGCATATAAGCAGTATCCAAGTAACTCTCATAACAAATCACAGCATACATCTTACTTTCAATAATCTATTTCCCAAGATCATTACGGAAAGCTACAACCTAAGGTAATTCAAACTAGCATGCATGCATCCCAAGCGGTTCCTACAAGTATTACTTCCTAAATTCCGTGTGGTGACTTACCTAGATGCTACGTGCCCTTACGTAGCGTTTCCACACACTTGGCGTATCGAAAGAGGGTGATTTTTCCTCAATTAGGTCCTATTTCTTACAAAAAAAAATGGAGTTAGGATATGAATCAGGGGGAAACTAGGGAAAACAGAAGTCGATCGGGCCAAAAATCAGCTTACACGCGCCTCCACGCGCCAGTCACACGCCGGGGAGCAGCCACTCGCAGATCCCACGCGCGAATGTCACGCGCCCAGAGATTTCTGCAGTCGCGGGTCGCGGGTTCGAGTCGAAAGCAGTGATTCGGGTGGACCGCGGGTCGTCGGCTTGATTCCGTTCGCCGTGCGGGTATCGGGTCAGCCAAGGAGCACGGGTCGGGTCGCGAAGCCAGGGACGCGTGTCGCAGGAGAGCTGGAGCCGCGTTTTCCCAGGCGACGCTTGACGCGTGTCCAGAGGCGATTGGCGCACGCGGCCCTCTAGCTGGTTGCCACGTGGTACGCCGGCGGCTTCTCCCTCCTAGCAGAGAATCAAAGTTTTCCGGTTAGTTTTCCGACGTACTCTCCATTTTCTATCTTTCGATTCTTAATCCAAACAGAAATGGTTTCTTCAACAACGTTTTAGATCATCTATCTACCTACGTGCTAGTATTTCTTTCTTGATTTTTGTTTAGTCATAAGGTGAGTTATGAGCGTCAGAAAGAGTCCGGTAACATCCTTACCGTTCTTGGGTAGTCTCTCCGATCTCGTCGTTTCGTCCGTTTTCCTCACCAAGATCAGTGGCGAATCTTCCCTAGAAGAAGGTAGTAGACTTAATCATTCTACTCCTCAACAAAGATCTCAGATCTAGAAGGTATAGTTCGAAATCTTACCTTGGGTTTTTTTTTTTTGTTTCTGATCTTGAGGCAAGAGGAGGAAATCTCCACACGAGTTCTTACTTCACTCTAAGAAGGGCTCCAGAGTACAGGTCTTAGTAGGGAATGGATTCTATAGGCAACTCTCCGACGAAAACTCCGGCAAATCCGTTCTCTCTCTCTCAAACCTTCTCTCAGTCCTTCTCTCTCACTCTTCTTCTTTTGCAGGAACTCTGAGGGGGACGCTCAAGACCCTTATAATGGGCTGAGGGGTAAAATGTCCTTTTTGCCCCTCGACCGTTTTTTTTTTTTTTTTTTTTTTT